CCAACCAAGCCCGGGCCCCCAGAGCCCGCTGTGGGCCTGGGCTGGCCCCAGGGCTCGCACCTGGAGCCCTTGACCTTTTTTGGCCCAGCCTGAAGCTCCAGGCCTCTGGACTGCGTCTGGGAAATGTGCGACCCAGGGTGGACAGGTGTGCTGCGGCCGCAGAGAGAGCCGCGGCTGTGTGTTTGGAAGGGTTAAAGGATTCTGCTCAGCCACCTCCGGGATCTTGTCAGGGGTCGATTCTACCTGGACAGAGCTCTTAAGACTGGGCTTGTCAAAAGTGTACTGGAAGTAGCCCGTCGTTTCCTTTCAAGCCTTCCAGGGTTGCATCAGTCTCCAACTGCTATAATGCTCCTAATAAAATATGCTTCAATTTCCAGGGACAGATGGGAGGTGGGGTGGGCCAAATGAGACCAGGCATCCCCTTAGATTGGGGCTGTGACTGAAGCCACCCTCCTCTGTTAGCATCGGAGTGACCCGGAAAATAAGTCCAGCTGACCGGGAACCCAAGAGCGTGGACATGCCTGCTTCATGGACTGCTGGGAAAGACCCACCGGTAACAAAGGGGACCCCAGAAGCCTGAGGGCGAAGGTCAGGGCTCCTGAAAGTTTTTAAACCCATCATAAACACACATAAGTCACACATAAGTGCTCTTTGAATCTGCTCACTTATGATGTTAGAAGAACATTTTCCATAACATATCTTTGTGGCTCTACTTAGTATTAATAGCACATAAGTATGTGGACCTGAACTTCTGAATCCCACGGCAGAATTAGAAAATAAAATGCATCATACAGAGAATAATGAATTTGTCTCTCTACCTGTGGCACAAATGAAGATTCCTGCTAAATACTGGTGCTTAGTGCTGTGTAGTAGTTCATGAACATTAAACTTGCCTTCTAAATTTGTTAACATTCCAGTGTAAGTTTTAAGCACATTGGGAAGACACGGTTACAAAATCCCCTCCCTAATCCCAAATAATATCCCAGTTCATTCATGTTTTATTCAGACTTAAATAAATCACTAGCAGAACTCAGCCTCTCTCATTTAAGATTTTGTTGTAACTGATTCCAATTCAAAAAAGAAAAACTACTGAAATTAGATGTTGTAAACAAAAGAAACAGCCAAGATTTAAAAATAAAAATTATTATGCTACATTTCAAGTTTGAATGGATAACGATGGAATTCCGCATGCTGCAAACAATACTAACAAATAGAAACACCAAAAAAACACGCTACTTGTCCAAGCATCACTAAAATATAAACAAACTAACCAACATAAAACAGCCTGGGGCCCATTCATGTCTTAGTATTCAAAGGTAATTGCCGTCGGAGGCCTGGGAACGCTTTTCTTTCCTAAGGGGCATGGGCTTAAGGGACAACCTGCTTTTGTTGATATGTACTAAAAGTTCTGCTAGACAAAGGCTTGAATCCTCCAGAATCCAGCACAAAAGTGAGAATAAATTTCAAGCTGGAAAATACTGCTGTTGCCGTCAATGAGAGCGGCTTACTGATTCTGACAAAAAGTTGTGATTTGTGCGCTCCTGGCAATAGCATTTCCTGCTATGATGGTCTCGTAGAATTTTTGAAAATGGACCATTCCATGAGAGTCTTCAGGAAGTGAAGCATCTCGTGGTTTAGCACCTTGCTTGGATGCACTTTGGTGGGTGATAGGCTGAATGGCTTAGTCTGTTTAATCAGGGGAGGGTAAATGTCTTGGTGGATAGCTCAAAAAGAGGAAAATGGCTTGGTCCCCCTTTCTTCGTAGAGTCATAAAGAACTATTCAAACCTCTTATTTCCCTCTTGCAATAAGGTTCTCCCCATAAGTCCTTGCTGATGTCTTCAGGGGCAGCCCAAGTGAGTGGATCCTGGCGGTGCCCCCTGGTGTGCACATCTTGCCTGGCTGCAGCAGGGTTGGCACTGGATTTGGGGAGGAAGAGAGGCCTGGTAAAGGAGACTTTAGTCCCTGCTGCCAAGAGGCGCTCTGTTAGCCAGAAGGACTTTGTCACTTTAATGGAACTGTTTCCCTACACCTGTGCCTAGAAGTGGACCCTTGGTATAGCACACAGAGAATAATGGTCTACCTCAATGCTGATGAATTCATCCTTTCCCAAAAACATTGAAGCTGTATAATTTGGAAAAGAAAGAAAGGACTAGACCTTTAGTGTGTATTTGAAAGACAGTCAATCTTGACATCACTTTTGTGACAGTTCTTGAATCCTCGGTGAGAGCGGAGGTTTGGTTTTCCCATAGAAACTGTCAGTGAGGCAGTGAGGCTGCTCTGCTGTCACCACGGCTCTGTGGCCTGTCAGTCTTTGCTGTAAGGTCATAGATGTGCTCCTTGATCCCACATGGAGTCCTGTGAGGACCGAGTGAGAACCTGAGCCCCTTGGGAGCAGCCCCAGTGCCCACATGGTGGGGGACAGCAGGCATCAGAAAAGGGCGAGGCGGGATGTGCACTGGGTCAGGGCAGTGTCCCTGCCTCCTAGAGAGCCCCTGCCTGTGCTGGGCTCTGCAGTGGAGAGTTGCTGGTGGCCTTGGCCCTGGAGCCCTGGCTCCCGCCTAATATTCTGCCTGCCCCGTTGATGTTGTGCTTGGCTCCTGTGGGACTGCAACTCACGGCTGGAAACTGGAGCCAATTTTCTGTCTTCATCTCGCAGTGTTGTGACTGGAGGCAGATCCAGTGCAGGCCGATTGGGGCTGGTGGAAACAACTACCGAGTGTCTCTGTCTGCCTTGCTCTGGGAAGACAAGCGAGGGAGTCCCAGAATGTCACAGAGGAACTGGCCTGCGGAAAGGAGAGGAGCGGGAGTCGGGTTCCAAGCAGACTGTGCCTGCAAGCAGCAGTTGGGGTTACAGTGGGGACTTCTGCTTCCCCCAGCCTTTTCTTTTGATTGATTAGCGGATTTTATCCAAGGAGACTCCCAGGGGATTGACTAGAAAATTGATTTTGCCTTATTAATAGAAAGGAAGCACGAGGGTTTTGGCCCTGCCTCTTAGCGGTGCATTTTCTGCTGGAAGGTCAGGAGGAAAATGTGTTTAGGAGGCAAAGCAGCTGTCTGGAGAGGGCTGAGGGGAATCTGAGAACAATGAGATGGGGTTTTGAAGATCCGCCCCTGAAACGCAGACTGCTGAACAGGAGACTGAGCTGATGGCAGCCAGAGTTTGCGAGGTTTCTTGGGAAAAATAATCAAATGGTGCAGGGTGAAGGGGAGGTAGGAAGTAAAAGTTTCTCAAAGCAAAGAAACCGAAGGTGCCATGGCCACCCCCTGGCTCGCTCTTGATCTGAGGTGTTTTCCTTTTCTCCTCTCTTTTTTCAGATCTGAGGCTGTCAGAGATGACTCTGGTTCTGTCCATGAATAGATTCTGTGAGCCCATTGTCTCGGAAGGAGCTGCCGAAATCGCTGGGTACCAAGCACTATGGGAGGCTGACAGCTGCAGAGGCCCGAGCCCCCCGGGGCCGGCACAGGCTCCTCTGCAGGGAGACCGGGGAGCCGGGCACCCCCTGGCAGGTATCACCCTCGGCTTCCCTTGCCCTCTGCAGCCCGACTGGTGGACGGATGGGCGGTGGTGTTGCGCGCCTTCTGAGCCCAGAGCTCACACTAGCAGGCTGCCTCTCCCAAGCCCGATGGCTCTTGGGAGAGGGCCAGGGGCGGGTGTGGTTTGAATTGCGTCCAGACCTGCGTCTACCTGTGCTGCTGCCTGTGTAGAAGCCAGGGGTCTGTATTTTAGGAATTTAGATTTTGGTTTTCTCTCCTGTGGAACTGTGTTCTCTCAGGGCTGCACAGCCCCTGGGGCTGACAGTGAGATCTTTATGCGGAATCTGCACTTTGGGCAGGCAGCTAGCTACATGCCTTGTCACACAGTTGGCTTTAGTATTGCTAGGAAAAAGAAGAAGCAAGTAAAGCCAGGAAAGCAGAAATAGGTTTTTCCTGATCATTCTTACAGTCTAAGGTACATGTGTTCCTTTGGATTTTTGTACAGTGAAAGCTATTTCTAAAAAAGAGACAAATATGAAAGAAGAATTCAGGAAAGTATGTTTTGCCAAAAAGGTAAAAGCTGTGCTCTTTAAAATGTAGGCTCTACCTTACTCATGGTTGACTTTACATTTGTAAGAGTGAAATGACTTTACTCAAAATTTATATTTAAATGTTTAAATTTTGGATTTTAAAAAAGACAATGTGCAGAGAACCATTTGTTACTAACCTTAGAGCCAATAATAATATTTTAAGGTGTTTTGGGTATCAGTGGTTGCATTTGAACAGTAGTATTATATTGTCTGGATTTAATGAAACAATCTGAATAAATATTGATATTATTTCAGAGCTGTTAGCATTCTTCTCTTTATAAATTTTGCTGTTTGCATGTGCACAGAATTAAGATTGTGAGTATTTAGTAAATGTCAAAAGATGTCATTTTCCTCTGAAATTGCCCACAAATCCTAGCCTGGCCTAAGTCACAGAACTTCAGATGATATCCACTATGAAGACAAATGTTTATGTTTAATCATTGCATGTACAGACAAAAGATGCAGCCACGTTATTCTCTAGGAAGAAAGGAAATGGAAGTATTTGTTTGGAGAACCTCTGGTAAACCGCATGTCACTTGTCATATCTGATTTATTACCACAGGGTCCCATTACAGGGGAATTTCAAATCCTATAACAACATCCAAGATTACATACTTTAAGAGGAAGTTTGTGGAAGAAGAGGATTTTCACCCGCCACTCAGCAGCTGTAGCCATAAAGTATGTTTTTTAAATAGTCATTATTTTTATTGAGTTTAAGATACTTAGTAACAGTTGCTTGATCCATTTCCAAAATATTAAATTGTTTCACCCAAAGCAATGGAAATGAGCCACTTCTTTGTAGAACCACATTAATCATTGTCACTTTTTTGGGTCCTATGTTATTTTTCACAAGTACTTGAAGGGCTAGAGATACTCTACCCAGAAGTAACAAAATTATAAAACCCAATGAGCATCTTTCTAATGTGTGATTTATTATTTCCCAAGTTGCATCAAGGCCTGGGAGATGCACTTGTTCCATTCTGCTGTAGCTCCCCGGTCTGAGCTCCACCTCCAGGGGCCAGTGCCACCGGCCTGTACCCCAGGGGTGGTCCCAGGGCTTTTCCCAAGCCTTTGGGGTAGAGCGACCCTCCTCAGATGAGTGTGTGCTCTGCTTCATGGTACACTCCTTATGTATGTTAGAGCTTGTCAAAATACAGAATCCTTTCCCAGGAAAAAAAACCAAAGCTGTCTTTTCTGCACATTTACTAAGAAAATAATTAGAGGAAGTGCATAGGATTACGGAGCTGGGAACCTAAGCTTTGGAAATACTTCTTTTTCCTTATGATATGTTTCCTTCGAAAGTGGTTTGTTTACTTGATCGAGCAGAGTACAGCCCCAGACCATAGCAGCCTGAAATTTAGGGAAGACTTTCAGTGAAGCCTCCTGTCTGATTCCGCTGGCTCCCACCCGCCCCCTTCAGATGCTGCCTTTTGCCCTGTTCATAAAGACATCTATATGTGCTGCAGGTCCGGAGATTGCCCTGCCTGCCAGCCCAGTCTCTGCCTTTGAGCAGGCTGCAGGGGTTTAATGCACACTCCTCAGATTCTACCGCCAGTTTGCTTTTTCCACGACCTGGCACTGCTGGCCTCTTAGGATGCGAGCCATGTATTCCTTTTCGGTTTCTGTGTTGTGGTTGTGGTGGTTTCGGGCGCTGATCTGTGCAGGACCATCACTTGGCGCAGGAGTGCATCTCTTCTGCCTGGTCCCCCAGCGGTCCTTCTACTGCAGATCCTCCTGGGTCCGAGACTCACTGATCACTGTTGTCCTCTTATCGAGGAAGTATGAGGAAGTATGAGACATTGCAAGTATGAGACCCAGAGGAGTGAAAGAAGGACAACCACGGAGGCCGAGTATCGTGCCACTTGGTGGTGTGACCAGACGTGGAAGCGTACCCATCAGGCCCTGCATCTTGGTGTCTTTTAAAAATATGTATGGGTGTGCAATACATGTGTGTGTCTCTGCATATGTATTTGTATGCATGCACATTAGAAAGTGCAAGTGAAGTGTAGTTTGATGAATCTCAGCCATGAATATACCCATGTCAAGAATATCCGGTCAAAGCATCTCCCTCACCAGCCCAGGAAAGATCTGGCTACTTGTTCTGTCCTTGCTGAGGTCTACAATGGGGCTGGGTTCCCTGGTGCTTGACCACCCAGTGAGTCAGGAAGGGGTGGACACTGTCGAGCCTGGAGAATACCTGCCGCTTTGGGATCTGCCTATTTCAGGGGCCCCTGGGGAAAACAAGAGTGCATTCCCAGACCCAGGCGCTGCCATATGCCCTGGTATTTTTGTACAGTCTGTTTTCTAAGCTTTCGCTGTTTTTTTGTTTGTTTGAATTTTAGACCATCTCTATTTTTGAGGAACGAGCCCACATCCTTTATATGTCCTTAGAGAAGCTGAAGTTTATCGATGACCCTGAAGTGTACCTCCGACGATCTGTTCTTATAAACAATTTGATGAAGAGGATCCATGGCGAAATCGTCATGCAGAGTAACTGGTGCTTTCCGGCCTGCTCTTTCGGCAGCGCCTCTGCCCAAGAGTGGTTCGTGGGTCCAGACTGTCCTGACCGCAAACGACCACGCATGGCCAAAGAGGAGTGTGAGGAATTCCACGCCTGCTGCTTTTATCAGGAATGTGGAGGCCACTACCTAAACCTCCCCCTTTCTGTCAGCGCGAGTGTTGGAAGTACCTCCGCAACCGCCGCCTCCCCTTCCTCCTCCTCTCCCGCTCTGCCTTTGCCGAGTTGTTCCCACCAGTTGGGTTTCGACACCGGCAGTGCATCCATTTACAAGAGTGACGGCCAGATTCCTGCCAGTGAAATCTTCGATACGAATGTCAGGGCACGTGGCGTCCAGGAAAAGGCCAAGTTAAACGATGAGAAGACGGATGATGACACTCACGGAGGTGGCAACCCCCTCACCCACGAACCTGGGGGAAACGACCTTGATTGTGAGTGCAAAGGCCAATTTTATGATTATTTTGAGACTGGATATAATGAAAAAAACAATGTAAGTGAGTCTTGGAGAAAGTCTTTGAGGAGAAAAGAACCTTTACCGAGTAACAAATTATGCTGCAGCAAAGGGAGTAAAATATGAGCCATCTTTTCACCAAAACTCAGAAGCATGCGCAGCATGATCAGTTAGCTCTCATATGTTTTATTTTGAATGGATTTTATAGTTTTGTACAACTGATAAAATCATGTCATGAACATTCTGTGCTGTGTCAATGCCTGGGGAGCAGATTGTGTAAAACATCTGTATAGTAGGCCTCAGCAAGCTCCTTACAAATATGGTGATTTTACCAAGAAACACTCAACTTGATGCTTCGAGGTGTATCTTAGTTTTCTTTAAAAAAATCACTAGATTAGACTGGGGACAGTGTACCCTTGTGATATTTCCATTGCCCCCAGAAGCCTGTCACTAGCTAAGAAAGTGCAATGTGTTTGCCGATTAATTAGGTAGTTATTTGATAAGCACACAATGTAACCAGCAAAGGATGCCTGCTGCTTCTGTAGGATGCAGAATTTTTTCTAAATAAAAGACTGAAGACAGGGCGCTAGATGGACCAGCTTCATGGTGCTGGTTTCTGTATCTAACGACCTCTGTGATGGGTGAAGACGGACTACACCATGGAGCATACCTTTCTGGGGCCGCAGGCGTCAGTCTGCACAGAGTGGATCCCCTGTAAGCCTCACTTGTCTGTGGTGGTGATGAGGCGATGGAGGAGGTGGTATACAGGGCGATTTTTGGTGCCTTACTTTATCTTAATTTTTGCCAATGTGAAAATTAAGGATAAATCAGAGTTACAGCAGGGATTTAACAAACAGGAAAAAAAAAACAGGGTGGATCCATATGGTTTGGAAACTGTTACCTTTGAACTATTGTGTTCAGCTTTTGATTCAACATCTCTATTCTTCCTTTATTTTTGATGCCCACTTGCTTTGGGTTTAGCATTTCTGGATAGGGATGGAGGAGACATCAGAGAGAGCTGTTAGGAACCAGCACTAGCTACTTGAGCTTTTCTATGGCGACAGCGTGTTGCTGGGGTCTGGGTGTTCTGGGTTTTGGGTTGTTTTGTTTTGTTTTCTTGTCCAATGAAGTTCATGAACCCTGTGGCATGCGTTATACTTTGACCTGTTTTGCATCATTTCACTCGTTTAGATTATAAAAGCATGTGGTTTTTTTATATAGGACCTTTGCTGTTGATTAAGAAGCACAATGTTAATAAATGATGTGGTCGATAAGGTTTATTTTAAAGAATGTAAAGATTTTAGCTTTTGGAGAGTTATTTTGGAGAAATGGGACTCGGTCTGCAGTTGTTAACTGTATTTGGCCCGCATTCTTCTTGCTGAGACCTTAAACTTGTGCGTTGGCGGGCGTGTGCAGGGCGGCCCTCTGGCCGGCCGGCCTGCCGTCTGCTGCAGCAACGCCTCCAGCCACACTTCCCACTGCCACGGCTGCTGCCTGACGTGGTCTCTTCACACAGCACTGCGCAGAAACTAAAGGCCAAGTGGAGGAGATAAGTAAGTCCTCCTGGTTTCTCCAAGATAAAGCTTTTTTATTATCACTATTAATATTAAATATAGGTCTCATTCATACAGTGTATGAGTAGGATCATTTGGACAGTTGTCCACAAGGACCAATTTTTAAAACATGTTATTGTGTCATAGCTCAATAGTCTAGTATGTTTTGTTCTTTATTTTCAATATTCGATAAACATTTGATGTTGAAAATTTAGATGATAGATGCTTGTATATGAATGTGTTGTAATAAAGTGAGGTTTTCTTGATATATATTTATTAAAATGATGAAAATTCATTAAGCTTTGTACTTTAATGGTTATTGGCTGTTTCTCTTTTCCATTATTCTCTGTTTTAGTTAAAAAAAAACAAACTTCAAAACATGTCCAAACTGTAGTGGACAGTGATCACACAGTAGTTTTCAAAATAAAGAGTATTTTAAAAGGCCTGTATTTTAGAGTGGTCCTAGTTTGTAGTTTCGATTTCTGTTAAGAAGCACGAGGTTAATACGTGATATGATTTATGAGGTTGTATCTTGGTGTGAAGGTTTTTGGCTTGGGCAAGTTACAGCACAAAATTGTCTCATGTGAAGCTGTAAATACCAGACCCTTGGCGGTTCCTTTATGCTATGTCAAGTCATGAAGACGATGGCCCATCTGGTTATAGCAGCCTCAGATTGCTGCCAGTGGTATTCCACAGAATTCCATGTTAATGTTATTCTTAGAAGCTAATATGTTACTTGATAAAGGAGAAAACTAGTTGAAAGCTCCTTCATCTGTCAGAGGTAGCATTCCCATTATGAGCATGGCGATTTACCTGCTATGGAAGGGGCCTTCCGTCCTGCTGTTTAGAAGCCCCCCAGGACCAGATCAGGTGCTCTCGATGGCAGAGCTAAGCACAGCGGAGCTGGTGGTGCTCAGCGGCTCTCCTGTGTGGGCTTCGGCACCGGCAGCTGCCGCTCTGCCGGTGAGGTGCCCAGGAAAGTCTGCAGTCCTTAGTCGTCCGGGATATCTCCAGAGCACTGAAAGACAATCTTTTTTCACCACAATATAACCCTAAACACTGGCCCAGGTTACAGGAGCTGCCCTTCCAACCTGTGTGCGTGGGCGTACCCTGTGCGCTGTCACTCTTTGTTTTCAGGTGCTAGCGACCTGGCGCTCACGCTAGGGCAGTGCTCTGACGCCAAGCACACCCTGCCAGGGCGGACTGTCATTGCTCCTTAGGACACCGAGATCTTCCCAGAGGGGCCCGGCACACCCATGCTGAGCTCAGCCCTGGGCTGGCCCGAATGTGACAGGTGGGAGGCCAAGACTATCCACCCACATGCTGTCTGCCTGCTCGGAAGTAGCACCTCCTCCCCCTGCTGTCCTCTACATGAAAATCCAATGTCAGGATCCAGACTTACGAAAGATAATGAAGGGAAATCTCCACTTAGGAAGGTGGGCCTGAGTGAGATTCCTCCCCTTGCTACACCCTGTGGCATCTGGGTGTATGTCCTTAGCCAGATCCTTAACCTTCATCTGGGTTCTCTCCTTTCCAAAAGTGAGTGATTGTAAAACACGCCTGGCAAAGGTCCTTTACAGGGACAAAGATATCAATCACTCTACGCTTCCCTTCTGAAAATCTTATTATTCTATACAGATTGCGGGGACGGGACGTGGGAGGAAGGCAATAGTCACGTTGACAATCACTATTTAGAGAAAAGCATCTTTGGCATACTCTTTTAAGGAGAAATTTAGAACATTTTACATGCTATTTTATTAAATAAGTGGTGAAGCATGTAAATGAAAGCATTCACTTTTAGAGCTCATCGCTAGCTCTGCATGGCTACCACCCTTCTCATCCTGAACTTGTACTGTTTCTCCCTTTGATTACTTCCTTTCTGTGCATCCACAGAGCATGGAAAGGCAGACTTTCAGACACAGATACAAGGGTTCTTAGGTGACGCCCCCAGCCTTTCTGTCCCTCAGACACAACGAGAGTGGGAAACATTTCTAGAAATAATTAGCTGTTCAAACCCATGTTTATGACAGCCCCTTCAATCTGAAATCATTTCATCTGTAGTTATCCCATCCTTGACCATAGTATTAGCCTTTGGAAAGGACTCAGCGTGCCATTGCCAACGAGGGTATAAATCAGACGCAGAACTCCTCCATGAAGAGAAAGATGCATTCAACGTTGGAGTAAAGAGACCACGGTTTCTAGTAATCCATTTTAAGGTTGCCATGTTTTGATTCTGCAGTTCAAAATAAATGCATGAAGGGTCTTTTCTAGTGTGAAACCAAAGTCTATTTTCTTCACATAGCTGAAATCTCTCTTTTTCATGTGATATAGCTCCATGACCAGGGGTGAAACAGTTACTAGTTCAGAGGTCGTTTCCAGCCTGTTCCCAGCCAGGGTACACACCACATTTTAGTTGGGAGAAAGCACTCAGGAAAAGCACTGGCACAGATGTAAGTTATGAACACTTGAATCTTGCGTCCTGCCCCAAAGTGCATCAGCGAGTGAGTTTAATAAAACATGCTGTTTAAAATAGTCTGTAATTTCCTGTTTCTCTTCAGTATCTGTGACAGGCTGAAGCACGATGACTAAACGGAGGGAATTTACAGAAGCTAGTCTGGTGGTGTTTGCAAACCATCGCCACGAGCTGCTTCTTCTTTGGTAAACAGTGCTCTGGTGGGCCGTCTATAGTTGGGTTTTTTCTCAGTGTGGATCCAATTCGTTAATTTTGAAAATCCAAGATGCTTCTTCACAGCCTGGAAACACCTGTTTTTGACCATAATGAAACTGATAGAATGTGTGGAATGTATTGATCGTTTTTCGTGATGTTTCCCATATTTCTCAACCCTATTTTGTAACTGTTTCCTTGACTTAAATTGATACAGTTTTATAAGATGCCTCACCCGGGGCAGGACACACACACAAGAGAATTTGCAGACACAGGAGTTGTGATCCTGCTTCCCACCGGATCCCCACGCAAACGGGCGATGTCAGAACTCGGGGTTAGGGCCCTGTGCCCTGTGTGGACCTGCCGCCCTGCCATAGACGTTGCCTGCACCCCGCACCCCAAGCAGCTGAGTCTTGGCACCCTGCCTGCGGGCCTGTCAGCTCGCACACAAGCCCAGGTGCTTCTAGTCCTGTCTGCAGCCCTCCAGGTGCGGACGTGGTGAAGCCTCGGATCCCTGCAGCGTTCAAGAGCTGAGCAGGCTGCTCTGCAGTGGGCCTGTGCCGCTCTCAAACATCCCCAGCATCTTAGACTCATTCCACCCCTGCGTGCTGAGAAGGAAAAGACAGAATAAGTTACACAGGCACGGAGATCTCCGGTAGAGTTGAAGAAGTCTGAGAAGTAAGCTTCTACGCATGCGTGGCCGGCTGCACCCAGCTCCTTTAAGAATACCTGAGAAGGTATAGATAAGACAGTGCGTTTCTTTTCTCAGGGACTAAAGGGTTATCTTGATGTTTCTGTAGGAGATAAATGACTGCCTCTTCTGGAGCTGGGAGAATCCCATTGTTCTCCAGGTCCGCAGATGCGGCCAAACCATCTTTGTGATCAGGTGCGGGAATCGGCTCCAGGAACCTCTCTCCGTGTCTGTGGAGGTAGGGAAGCTGCGGGTTTGTGGCGACACCAATACAGCAGAGGGTTAGAAGTGTGGGATTTGGAGTCGGAAGCCCAGCTGGGGCTGTGCAACCGTGGTCTTGCCAGGTAGCCGCCGTGCTTCCTAGTGCCTTGCTTTTGCTAACAGGAATGGGTGGTGTGTGGTGTCCATCCGCAAAGGCCGTCGCAGGTGAAGGCTTGAATAGCAGGGAAGTGGCCTAGCCAGGGTAGGTCCGACGGCTGGCTGGGTGGGAAGGGTGAGCTCGGTGACTACACTACTGTCCCCAGATGTGCTGCGTCCAGCCCTGACAGTGCCAGATCCTCTTTTTGGCCGAAAGTTTTCAGCCTCTTGGGTTCTATACAGCGAGCTTGAAATTCATTTGGGGATGGCATCAGCTCTGGGGTCCCAGGCTTTCAGACTGCTATGTGGTCGCTGGTGTCTGTGAGATGTGTTTAATGTTTCAAAAGCTTATTGAAAATCATAAAATCTCCTGAAAGTGGTTACACGGAAGAACCTATGTCAGATTCTTTGCCTTTGCTGTGATCAAATCAACTCTAGGTTAACACAGATATCATAAACTGAGAAGAAACTCCAGCAAAATGACGGCCTTATCTTTAATAAATGTCATGTGTTTCCAAGAATCTTTTAGAACAGTGGCTTTGTGAAAGTAACGAGTTGTCCCTTATAACAACAAGACTAAAATTCATGAACCTCTGACATGTCTCCTCCTCTTGCCAGAGTTCAAGTTAATCCACTGACCATACTGATCCACTGTCTTACTCAAGAAGACTATGCCATCGAGTTAAAATTCCAGATGATTCAAACACAGCACTATTCTTGTGTTCCTGTGCTGACAATGAAGCCAAAGCAAAGTTTTCTAGATAATCATGACTTTCAGGACTTGGCCTGTCATAAAGTAACTGGGATAGTTTCTACTTATAAGATCTAAGCTTGAAAAGCAAATCAACTACTTCAGACTTTTCCCTTTTCAAGTCACCTTTAAATGCAGCTAGTTTGTTTCCAGCTAGGATTCTGTTCCATTTCCATCGTTCTCCACTTTTGAAGAATCTACTGTTTTCTGCGTGAGGCGAGGTGGGCCTGCCTGTCGTGATAGTTGCTGGTTGTAGGCCTGAAAGGGGAACGAACTGAGCCACGGGACTGGAGAACCAGAGCGGGTGCAAGCAACTGCTGTACAGTGCCAGGGTGGTCCTGGGCTTCCTGCCGGCTTTCCTCCTACCCTGCAGGCTCTGGAATGTCATGATGGGTCCCGGAAGTCGGGTGGAGAGGCCAGGGATGCTGCGACCTGGCTGCAGGCACCCAGGCTGGCCACCTTCACACGCGTCCACTCGCTGTCTGGACACTTGGCAGCTGGACTAGGTCTGTTTTATCTTCTAGTGGTTAGGATGCCAGTGAGCGAGCGGATTGGCGAGGGTTCTCAACCAGTCCCGCCTTGGGCCTTGGCTCAGCCAAGGTGTCAGTGCACAGTAATCTGTCTGGAAGCAGTACCGGTTCCCGAACAGAAAGAATCTGGTACATCTTGGAATCTCCTGTCTGTGGTGTTACAGTGGCTGAATGAATAGATGAATACGGAGAGCCCTGGGATAAAACTTGGGAGAATTAATCCATTTCCAGCTGGGTGATGGAGGTGCACTCCTGTACTCTCAGCA